ACCAAAAAAAAAAAAAAAAAAAAGAAGCCCACAAAATAGGCCAGGCATGGTGGCAAAAGTCTTTAATCCCAGCACTCAGGAGGCAGAGGCAGGTGGATATCTGTAAGCTCTAGGCGAGCCTGGTCTACAAAGGAAGTCCAGAACAGCCAGAGGGAAACCCTGGCTCAAAAATTAAAAATAATTAAAGTTAAAAATGAGATTAAAATTTTTAAATAAAATGTGTAAATACCGACAACTTGATCAAAGAAGTTTGATTATGCTATCATAATTTGTGTACTCTCAAGTTTTGATTGAAAAATACATTAAATCTTTAAGTTACCAGGATTACTACAACTTTCTTTTCAAGAATGTGTATTTGTAGACTTTTCCTAATAACTCTGAGGAAATAGAAAGTTTATAAAATGTTAGACTGTGTTACTAAGGTTTATCTAACACATGCTATTCCGGTGGGATGAAAACCATTTACAAGTTCCATTTAGATTAAGAAATCTTTTGGGAAATGTATGTAGTACATTCTAGTTATTCTGTTTCTAGAACAGCAAAAACCTCTATAACCTATTTCCCTACTGTTTGTGTTTCAAAACCAACTTAGTTCACTTATAACTTCCTTCCCAAAAAGTCAAAGCAATGTTATATATAGGTAGTACAGAACTATTTGAATTTTCAGCAGAGATTGAAGCTGTCTCATATTTAACCTACCTCACACCTTCTACAAAAACAATAACAGTTCAATGAGGTATTACTTACAGTCACATTAAAAAAAAAAATCATTAAAATGGACAGTGTAGGCCCCCTGGCAGTGGTATCAGGATCCAACCATGATGCATGAGCTGGCTTTTGGGAGCCCACTACCTTGCACAGCCTTGGTGAAGGTGGAGGGGGCTTGGACCTGCCTCTACTCAATGTACCAGGCTCTGCTGCCCCATGGGAGACCTTACCTTGTGGGAGGAGGGAATGGAGGGTGGGTTGTGGGGGGTGCGGGCAGAAGGCTGGAGGGGTGGGAGGAAGGAAAAGAGGGAGATCTGTGGTTGGTATGTAAAATGAATAAAAAATTCCTTAATAAAAAAAAAAAGTTGCGGGGTTGGGGATTTAGCTCAGTGGTAGAGCGCTTGCCTAGCAAGCGCAAGGCCCTGGGTTCCGTCCTCAGCTCTGGAAAAAAAAAAAAAGTTGCAAACAAAAAAAAAAAGATAAAATGAAGAGTGTACTTCATTGTAAAAGAGGCAGTAAAGAGGAAGAAAAAAGAAAAGCTTCTAAAATCAAACTACTTAATGAATTTTTCATTCTCTTAAAACACAAAATCCAGCCGGCCGGTGGTGGCGCACGCCTTTAATCCCAGCACTTGGGAGGCAGAAGCAGGTGGATCTCTGTGAGTTCGAGGCCTGCCTGGGCTACAGAGTGAGTTTCAGGAAAGGGGCAAAGCTACACAGAGAAACCCTGTCTCAAAAAAAAAAAAAAAACCCAAAAACCAAAAAACAAACAAACAAACAAAAGCCTATAAGACACAAAATCCTTTTTACAATAAAACTCCCTGAAAGCTACTGTTTAGCATGCAGGAGGCTCCTTGTTCTAACCTAGTACCACCAAAATAGTAAGTAAAACTCCCCTAATGCTAAGAGCTCATCCTTAGGCAATGCCTTCTGTCTTTTATAAAGTACTGAGTTATCCTGGATTGGTTACATGATAGTTCACACCTGTAATTCCAGCCTAAGGAAGCTGAAACAGGATGACTGCCCTGTGCTTGAAGGCAGTTTATGCTAAATAGTCAGTTTCAGGATAGCCTGAGCCACAGAATTAAGACCTTGTTTCAGAACTACAAAAACAAAATAATGAGTTGCAAGCTATCTCTAGCATTTCCATTTAAATAAAATTGACAAATGTCACAAAACAATTTTATTTTGTATTTTGCTGTTTGACTGTGTCTCTCATCCTAATCAAATTAAAGGTTTGTCTATGCAACTTTCTAAAAAATCATGATAAGCCAACTTTAAGAAACTCATGTTTAAAAATCTTATACAAACAATTCATTTAAAGACTTCAACTATTCAACTTGGCAGAAAGAATTCCAATTATCAAAGGAAATCATTAAGTATGAAGCTGCCATGTTGAAATGTTACAAATAAAAACTACATAAAAATATTTATAAAATTCAGCTTACTTCCTATTAATGTGTCAAAGAACTTTTACATCTTCTCTAGACATCCTAAAGATCCCAAGTAAATTCACTTTTATTTCAAAAGGCTAGAAGCAAGAATATGATGACCCCAGAGAAGAAATGACTTAAGATATTTAGTGAGCCAAATACTTTTACAAAGAAAAGATGTATTAGAAACTCACTCACCCCTTCTATCAGACAAACAGTCCTCTCCTTAGAACATACTGCTTACAATTCAGCCAAGTATGACTGCCAAGAGTATCTAGACAAGATTGTTCAAAGTGACAAGCTTTCTACCAGCCGTCTATTTTTTACTTGGAGTTGAAGACAAAGTATTGATAAACTAAATGAAAAGTATTTTTTAAAAACTTCAAGGAAAGATAAGTTTTACTATATAAATTGCTTCCGATACTCAGAAGAATAGGGATTTATTCAGTCTTGAAAAATAGGGGCTTAAGTGGCTAAAAGGAAAAAAAGGAGCTTTGGCCAAGCGTAGCAGGGCACACCTAGCACTTAGGAGGAAGAAGCAGAGAGATCTCTACAAGTTCAAGGCTAGGCTGATCTACATCATTTGTTCCAGGTCAGTCAGAGCTACATAAAGACCCTGCCTTGAAAAAAAGAAAAAAACAAAAACAAGCAAGCTTTGTGAGCAGCTTTTCTAACCTTACTTTACATTTTTTTAAAGACTTTTTCACAATAACAGACTGTAACACCAAATACAAGAATACAAGAATACTCAAATTTTATAGGTAAAATATGTAAAACTTACAATAACCCAATAATATGCAAAAGCGTCTAGAGGGACTGCATTTGTATTTACATGTAAAGTGTTACTGTTTTTCCCAGAGACAAACTGCATCATGAGATTGTTACTGTGACTTTAAATATTTTTGCATATTTGTGTAGGTGTATATATACAAAACAAAATAAAACAAAACAAAACATATATATTTTGCAAAACAAACACTGTTTTTCAAGACAGGGTTTCTCTGTGTAGCCCTGGCTGTCCTGGAACTTGTTCTATAGACCAAGCTGGCCTTGAACTCAGAGATCCTCCAGCCTCTGCCTCCTGGGTGCTGGAATTAAAGGTGTGTGCCACCACAACCCTACCTTACTTATATATTAAGAACACAATGTATTATGTTCAAACTTGACATGTATGTATCTGACCTACATAATCCTATTTGCTTTTCTGGTAATTCTTTATTTCACCGTGTTATATTATAGCAAAGGCTCTGATTTCTCTTTACACAAACTAGTACATTTCAATTTTGTTTTCACTAAACTGTAGAGGCTATATGCCACTCTTGCTCTTGGGTTTCTGGTTTTTACTATAGGCAATAACAGCTAAGTGCCACTGTATATACACAGCTTTGTGACTTCTTTGCTCAGCCCACTTCTTTTCTATGAAAAAAAATATATATATATAATATATATATATGGAATGTAAGTATACCCCAAAATATCAACTTCTCTTCTGTATACATACCCAATGTATTTTTCCAAAAACTTATTCAGATAACTCCAGAAATGTCAAAAGAGGGAATTTCCCAGATCAAAAGGGGGGGGGAGTCAATTTTACACTAGAGAGACAGGAAATCCCCACCCAAATCACAAATAAATGTTATCAATTAACATAAACATCAATATAAAAGGAATCCGTTACCTACATATAATCAAAATACCATTTGTATTTGCATGTGGTGTTCACGGATGAATTCTATGTGTGAGTGCCAGATTCATCTTGTTTTGAAATGCTAAGCTGTTCTTTATGGGTGTAATCAGAGTCCACATCAAGTGTCCTGAGGAAAGGCAACTCAGGAGACCGTTGAGTGGCATGGAGAAGGTCGAAAATGAAAAGAGGGTTGTACAAAGCCATGGTCCAACAGATCGAATGTGCAACAAAAAGATCCCACAATGCAAAACATTCCTTTCCTGAGTAGCCTGAAGAAAGATCTTTTCTCTTAGCGTGGATAGTATCCTACCTGACTTCATTCACTTTCCAACTTCCTTTACTTTTCAAGGAACAACAAGGGGCATCTCCCCTTTTCTGGAAGTGTGTGTTGAAAGAATTTGTACGGGAAAGAGGGAAGGAATCGACTATTCTCAAGAAGGTTGGGAAACAGGTGGGTTACACAGAGCAACGGAGCAGCAACATAATCTAGACCCTCACGGGGTGGCTTTAAGATGACAGATGTGGCTAAAGGAGACTTGCACGTCGGAATCAGCTCGGGTCTGGCAGACAGACCGGGGGCTGACTGCATGACTGCAAGCACTAGAGGGGGCAGAGGCTAGATCTAGAGCGGCATCAGTGGAGAGGGGGTAAAAAAAAAAAAAGCAAAAAAAAAAAAAAAAAACCAAGCACCAAGCAGGACCGGTGGGCAATGAGCAGCAGCACCGGTCGGAGTGGAAGTGATGGTTCTGGCTTGGGAGACCAGGGCCAGTTGGAAAGGACGTCAGAGGGGAAAGGGGGCTGGGGAAACAAGGAGGACCGAGACCTAAGGATACTGTGGCCAGAAAATTGCGGGGAAAAGCTGGCGATGAGAAGCCCTCTTGGCTCCCCAATTGAAGAAATTCTCGAAGGAGAGCCGGCACTCGCCGCCGCGCTGCCTCCAGCCCGGCTGCCTTTTCCTGGTGGTAACTGCTGTGGCGTAGAGGGGAGAGGGAGGAAGAGGAGGAGGAAGAGGAGGAGGAGGCAGCCGGAGGAGGAGGAGGAGGAGGAGGGTGAAGACGAGGCGGGGGGTGGGGAGAAAGGGGGGTGCGGCCTGCACAGTCCCAGCGAAGCCTCCGCTCTCTCGTAGCCGGTCAGCCCCGGGTTTCCCCTAAGCCCAGCCCCGCAGACACTCACCCGCCTGCCTTGCCTCGCTTTTCCCTTAGCCGACTCCACGCGCTGCTGCGTCCTCACAGGAGACCAGTGAACGAGAGTCGGCGAAAAAACTCTTCAGAACCGGGCCTGACTGCTTCAGCGAGTCCGACCTTTACGGCTGAGAGAGAGACTCTCAGCTTTCGGTGGGTTCCACAGCTAGACGGGCCACCATCTTACATTAGGGTAAGACTCCTCCGGGCTCCGGTGCGCAGGCGCACGCCGATCCGGCTGGGAGGGGCGGGGGAGGGGCGGGACTAGCGGCAGGCGGCCGAGTGGGAGGTTGCGGCGGACTGATCCGCTGCACCCTGGGAGTTGTAGTCCTCAGAGGGCAGCCGCCCCGGGGCAGGCCGGGAATTGAAGTCATCAGTGGAGACGGCACTCGGGGAGCTCGCACCTCACGTGGCTACTGGAGCGCCGGCTTTCTTCTTGTTTTGCTTCCTCCTCTGCCGGCGTGTGTGGCTACCGTGTCATGTGGTCGGCCGTTTTCATTAATGTTTGCTGAAATGTAGGAAACTAAAACTCTACGAAACTTAACTGATTTGGAGGGAGCAGAGAAGTGTCTTATCTGCCCCGCCCTCCATAGATAGGTATCCTACGGGGGGGGGGGGGGGGGGGGGGGCGGTGAGGAGATAGAATCAGGTTGAGGATTTCAAGAGCGCGGGATTTGATCTAGAGTGAGGATTTGATATGGTTTGGAAAAGTGAGCGTTCGTTTCCCGATCTTTGCGCGTCCTGCCACCAGCAGGGTTGATCTCATCCTTACGGCGAAATCGCCAGAGAAGAAATATCCTGAATTGCCAGATGCACATTTCCCAAGAGAACTCGTGCAGTCAGAGTAGCCTGTGCTGCGGATGCGGAACAGCATGAGGACTTCACTGCAAACTCTTGTTGGCTGCCAGTCCAGCCTGCACAGCTGTGTGCGTCAGGTTCGCAAACTGCAGAAATAAACACGTCCCAAAAAAACGTGATGCAACCGCAGCCGGTTCCAGCACCAAGAAATCCAAAATAGCAAAATCAGTCTATTGACTGCACTTACCTGGTTGCCTCCAAGAACTCTGTTGTAGGTGGCGCTCCCGGGGCAATCGGTTCTGTTTATTGCGTGTATATTATTCATCCATTAGTACAAATATTGAGTTCCTCCTTGGTACCCAGCCCTGTGCCATATGCTGGGAACATACAACAGTGAGCAAAACACAAATCTGTCCCCATTCCAGCGTGAGTGCACGTGCTGGCGTTTGGAGAAGTGAAAGGAAACAAATTTTCATATCCAAGACAAAAATACACAGGATGCAACTGTGGATGTACCACAGTGGTAGAGCGTTGTCTGGCACACTTGAGGCCTGAAAGCAAAAGGCGAGAGGGGAGGATTTAAAACAGAAAAGGGAAGAGTAGGGGAAGAAATTGAAGTTTTAAAATCTGTATCTCTTAGTGAGAAGCCCTCATTTTATTTTTCTATAGTTCCATTTTCACCCAAGCTAAAGTCAATAATTTTAGTGAAGAATTAGTATGTAATAAACTCATACTTAACTGAATTTGATGTTACAAAAATCATATAAAATGATTACCTGAAAAGAAGCTTAAAAAATCATTTGCATTCATCCTCAGGTACTTAAATGTCTAAATATTCCATATAGGTAGCACGTATATTTTTTTAAATCTGATGTATTTATATATATAATATGTGTTATATATATTATTATTCTATATTGGATAAGCAAGATAATGTAATGAACAAATAAGTTTTTGTTTTATGTTTTTTTTTATTTTAGATAGTGTCTCCTTGTGTTATTCAGGTTGGCCTTGAAGCTGTCATTCTCCTGCATCAGCCTCCTGAATACTTGAATTGCAGGCATGTGCTGCCATGCCCAGCCAAGTTTTTCCATTACTGGAGGCTAGACTCAGTAAGAACTGTTCACAGTAAGTTCATTTCTTGAGAATCGCCTGCCTGTGCAAGTCTAGGGTAGCTTCTTTAGAGAAAGAAGAAATCTAAGGTTGGTTGTTTAGCTCACACCTTTAATCCCTGCACTCAGGAGGCAGAGGCAGACAGATCTCTGTGAGTTTGAGGCTAGACTGGTCTACAGAGCAAGATCCAGGACTGGCACCAAAACTATACAGAGAAACTCTGTCTCAAAAAACCAAAATAATAATAATAATAATAATAATAATAATAATAATAATAATAACCAAAAAAGGGGGCCAGACAGGGTTTCAGTTAGTGTAAGAGAGAGTATGAAAGAGGTTAATGGGGGGGGGGGATGAAAATGACCCAAATTTATGTTATACACATATGAATTTGCCAAAAAAAAGAATAAAAGAATTAAAAAGAATCACACCTTTGGACACAGTGGTATGAGACCTTGTCTCAAAGTAAAAATCAAAGTTAAAGCCTAGGGACATAGCTAAGTGGTAAAGTACCTACCTGCCTGGTGCAAAAGCCCTGAGTTCAATCTTAAGTGCTAAAATTAAAAAAGTTACAAAGTAATATATAGTAAAATTACCAATATTTCCATAAACATGATTGTTCTAAAAATATAATAAACTCATCATTTGCTAGCATTAGAACAAAATCCCCATGTATGTGAAAGTTGTAAAAACTAACTGGTGTGGGTGTGTTTTTGTTCTTCTCTGGTGGACAGCACCTGATCTATCCTTAGTTACACTATTACATAGTTTCCTAATGTACTTGTTATTTGTTAGAACTGAAAACACAAACAACTTTGTGTTCATTTGTAAAACAAGTTAGACCTTAGATAATTAGATGTAAGTTGTATTCAGATAATCACCTGTGGTGGGGCATTTAAAAGTCGTGAGGGACATAAAGTGGCTATTCACATAAAATTATGAGGAACAGCTGGTCGGTGGTGGCGCACGCCTTTAATCCCAGCACTCAGGAGGTAGAGCCAGGTGGATCTCTGTGAGTTCGAGGCCAGCCTGGCCTACCAAGCGAGTTCCAGGAAAGGCACAAAGCTACACAGAGAAACCCTGTCTTGGGAAAAAAAAAAAAATTATGAGGAAGAGTCCCCCCATTTTTGCAGGAAGATTAGTATGTGCCCTTAACTACTCAGCCAACTCTCCAACCCCAGGAATACATTTCTATAAAAAAAAAAAATCACAAGATTCATACACATTGTCTTAGGGTTTCTATTACTGTGAAGAGACACCATGGCCACGGCAACTCTTATAAAGGAAAACATTTAATTGAGGTGGCTGCTTACAGTTCAGAGGTTTAGTCCATCACAACTGAGGTGGCAGCTTACAGTTCAGAGGTTCAGTTCCATTATCATCATGGTGGGCAGCATGATGGTGTGGAGGCGGTCATGATGCTGGCTACATCTTGATACAGCAACCGGAAGTCAACTCAAACACTGGGAGGTATCCTGAGCATAGGAAACCTCAAAGTCTGCCCCACACTAACACACTTCCTCTTACAAGGCCATACTCACTCCAACAAAGCCACACCTCCTGATAGTGCCATTCCCTATGAGCTTATGGGTGCCAATTACATTCAAACAACCACACACATCAAATCTTTCTTTCTTTCTTTCTTTTTTTTTTTTTTTTTTTTGAGACAGGGTTTCTCTGCGTAGTTTTGGTGCCTGTCCTGGATCTCGCTCTGTAGACCAGGCTAGCCTTGAACTCACCGAGATCCACCAGGCTCTGCCTCCCGAGTGCTGGGGTTAAAGGTGTGCGCCACCACTGCCCGGCTCACATCAAATCTGTAATGTGTATTTAGTTACTTGAGAGGATTGTGACTGGAAGGGGAAAGGAGAAGAAACATAACTTTTGACAGAAATTGTTGCATTGATTTTTGGTTATGTATATGAAATAGTTTCATACATTTTCAAAAATAGATCACTCTGCTGTGTTGAGAATGGATTGGAGAAAGACAAGAATGAAACTGCAACAACTAATTAAGAGAATATTTCAGTCATCCAGATGGTTACTCTGATTGTGGTGGCAAAAAAGACAAAAAAAAAAAAAGGTAATAAATTCAAGATACATTTTTTGAGATTGAAATAACAGGACTGATAACTGAAAACGAAGGAGCGCTCATGAATGAGTCATATTTTTCTAGACTAAATAGCCTTGTCAATGAGGCTCCTTGGTTAAAAAGAAAGGAAGGAGGAAGGAAGGAAGGAAGGAAGGAAGGAAGGAAGGAGGAAGGAAGGAAGGAAGGAAGAAAGAAAAAGAAAGAAAGAAAGAAAGAAAGAAAGAAAGAAAGAAAGAAAGAAAGAAAGAAAGAAAGGAGATAATGATTGAAATAGCATGTATGGAATGTAGAAGGACAAGTTCATGTGAAAAGAAAGCTGCAGGATTTCAAAGGAATAGTGATTGCCCACTTGAACCTGATGAGCTTATTTTTAAATTTTTATTTATTGTATACGTGTGTGCATGTTTGTGAGTAGTGGAGTGCACTTTTATAAATTACTCATATAAGGATATTTTAAATAAATATTTCAAGTCGTGTTCTTATGAACCTTACTACATGCAAAGAAATGATTATTCTAGGGTTGGGAATGTAGCTCAGTGGTGTTGATCGCTTAGCACTCATGAAGTGCTGGATTTGGTCCCTAGTACTGAAAGAAAAATCAGATTGCTTTAATATTAATAAATACCAATGTCACATTGTTTGTGGATCTTTATTTTCCTCAAACCCTACTAACTGTGGATTTTATTGTTATTTGCTATTTTTAGTCTCATTTAATGAATATTTGAGTGTTAAATGTTGGGTATAGGTTTTGGTATTCAAGGTTACCTTAGGATTTGAAAGAAAAGAGAGAGAGAGAGAGAGAGAAAAACAAATAAAATAACTATAAAATTATTAACTTATTGTCAAAGTATTAGGAGGGAAAAAGAATAAAGTGGAGGCTAAAAGCTCCTGGGCTGGCCTGTGTTAAAAGGGAGAGCTTTCTAAAGAGATGACTTAATCTGGGATTTAAAGGACTAGAAACACTGATGCCATTTTTTTTAAAAAATGACCCATGTCAAGACCTTGATGTAGGGATATCGTTAAAATATTCCAGGAATGGAAAGCTAATCAACCAAGTCGATGCACAGGCACAGTGGAAGGAAGTCAGAAAAGATTCCGATTTGGATGAAGTTTAGATTTATTCCTAATGGCATAGTAGACAATTGAGCAATAACATAGAAGAGTGACTTGACTCTA